CTCCTTTCCCTTTAATGCACAGTGTGAAGTGGGGAATGTGGAGCCTGATAGTATTGAATGTGCTTAGTCATATCATGTAACCAGCAAGCTTTAAAAGCTGATCTTTTCATTTTTGTTCTATTATTGTTAATGCATGTAAAATGCCTTCCTTGGAGCAGAATAACACGTCTGATACTCTGCAAGAAGGTGGTATAGAAAGAGAATGGAACACACACAGTTATCCTGAAGCACTTCTATAAAATGGCACGGCTGTCTTCTGTATACAAAGGAAATTATTTGTGCTTAAGCAAACTAATACATGGAACAATTTTATAGTATTATCTTCCAACTAAATATTTAAAGTAATGTACAATAAAGCAAGCTAGTATTGCTGAAACGTTTATCAGCTAGAATTTGATAATGACAGGGATAGCATTGAGGAATGTATGCTTATCCATAGTTTATTGAATAAAGCATAGGCTTGCATAGCAGACGTATTTGGAGCAGCATAGATATACGAAGTAAGCATATTAAGCCACGATCTGCAGGATTAGAGACCAAGGTGGCTGGTTTCACATACTGTGCTATGTTGAAATCAAACCACATTAAGATTTAATGTGTGGGTGAAGGCCAATATATCTAGCTTCTCCTCTTGATCCCAAGCTTATCCCTTTTGAAAAATGCTTCCCTTGAAAGAGGTTGTGATGGAGAAAGAAACCAAAGAATTTTTTTGGGGGGGGGGGGGGGTCATTTTAACCAAAGAAATTGGCTTTTAAAAGTTTTAGGTTCCCCGGGTTTGTTTTTTTTTTTTGGGGGGGGGGGGGGGTCATTTTAACCAAAGAAATTGGCTTTTAAAAGTTTTAGGTTCCCCGGGTTTGTTTTTTTTTTTTGGGGGGGGGGGGGGGTTCATTTGAACCAAAGAATTTGGCTTCTACAGTTTTAAGTTCCTCCGGTTTGCTTATTTTTTTTTGGGGGGGGGGGACAGAAGTGGGAGATAGTCTTTGATTTATCCTGGCTGTTCTTAATATTTGATAAAAATATGTGATGGTAGAACATGCAGCCACCAATAATTCATTTGCTTGAAATGGTAGAAATAACATCAGTGTGTGTTAAAGGAAACTAGTGTGATAAATGCATATGTGTGTTATGTGGGAATTGTTACAGGGGAGTAATGATACTTTTTTATTACTTCCTTCCTACCTGCATATTCATTTTTTTTCAAATTAACTAAGTAAAAAATAAAAAGAATACACAAAATTGTGAAAAAAGAAGACTAAAAAAAGAAACAAAACCATACAAAGCGTATGTTCACATGCATACAGACATACATATGCAAAGTTATACAATCAGCATTTCAATGAATTGATGTCATAATTCATTGCAATCATCCATTGCTAATCTATATTGATAAGTTATTGGTTCATAAATTGCTGGTTACATGAATTCTGCAGACCACTGAATAGTTGGAGCTACATCTTTCCAATGTTGAACAGTAAGTTTTTTAACTGTAAGTAAGGTACAGAAAGGGGGACGTGGTGGCGCAGCGGCTTAATGACGCTGAAAGTTGCTGGCCAGAAATGGCTGATGCTTCGGCGGTTCGAGTCCAGCCTTCGCGTTAAACAGGGTGAGCTCCTGTTTCCTCCCCAG